TAAAACAATTTATTGTTTTTAATATCAGTTGCTCTACTATGTTTATAAATACGAAAGAAACATTTACCTCAGAAATAACGGAATAAAATATAAAATGTTCAGGTAACTAGAAAATTCAATATCTGTGCAATTCCAATATCAATTGCAGTTGAAGCAACTTTTGTGTTAACTAATGATGCTTTCATGAACCTGTTTCAAGTATTTATTCATATTAATTGATAAGTGAATGGTTCACACAGATAAAATGAGCTGGTTCAATGGTTAAGGCACTTAGCTGCCATTGTTAAAAACGGGTTTAATTCTCGGCATTGGTTTGAGGGTCAATGTGTATGAGTTCGTTTGAGAAGTAAATATGAATGGTGGGTAATGATGATCACATTACCACCATCATGCTGTTGGTCTCAAAATATTGAAGCCTTAACCCCATAACTGATGCAGGAATGCTGTACTTCTTTTCCACACAAATAGATTAGCATAAAAGGCATAGAGTATTCTAGTGCTTTTGTGTTGACAAAACGTGTTGCTCTTTAGCTTTTCGATATAATATCATGAAGTCCTTTTTTTTTAATGTTGTTTTCAACCAAGGATTTCTAGTTAGTGGTTAAGATTTAAGACTGTTTTCTTTTCTTTTAAATATGTTTTTATAAAAAAAAATATGTTCTGTCAGTGCTTTTTTCACTTGCTCTTGTTTTACGCATAGACTACTGACTGAAGACCTCTGGTCTGGTTTGAACTTTTATTAACACTCCTATTCTCTATGATAAATTTCTCTATTAATATTTTTTCTCTAACAGTTAAAATTCTTGCCTGTTTTTTATGAGCTTATGGTTTTAAAATCTTTGTTTTACTTTTGACTACAGAAATTTCTGCCTAGGCAACAGAGAACATTGCGATCAATAATAAAAAATTATGAATATGTATTACTTGTGTGACAGGAAAAGCATCAGAATGAAGAGCCTGGCACTTATTTTTGTTTTGTTGTTTGTATTTATTAAGTTAAATTTTTATTTAAATTTGGATAATTTTATTTATTCTGCACTAAATCACTGCTGCAACAAATTATTCTCTAAAGTTATTATTAAAATTTGATGTTGAACCTTTTCATAACAAAACTTTTTTCAAATTTATTTGATTTTTAAACTTGATAAACTATTTTTAATAATTTTTAATTAATATTTAGATTCACTCTGAACACTGCTCCCCTCAGTATTGGTGCTCTGATCTGTGCTTTTTTCCCAAAATTCCCTCAGCACAGTAATGATAGCAGGTATGTTTTAATTTTTTTNATTTTTTTTTTTTTTTTTTTGAATCTGAAGGGTTATTTACAAATTACAGTATAGTAATTCCTTGCAAGGTCTGAAAATGCCTTTCCCTATGGCAAAATTGTGAGAGGTATTTATAATGTAGGTTATTTAAATTCAACAAAATTAAAAAAAAATAATAAATGAATTATATGTGGTGGTAAAATGTTTTCTAAAAGGCAAATAAAACATGTAGTGAACCCTACAGGAGTGTCTCCTTCAACAACTGCTTTTTTGAGTCACCTATTTTTTACATTAATATTCCAGTTCTAAATAATCAATACTAAAGACCAAACAACACTCTTCAAGCAAACAATTTTAATATGACAAATTTAAGGAGGATATTATTTTGAAGTCTCTTTTTTCAAGATTTAAAATTAAACTAGTGAGAGATGAAACAGACAATTTGAAACTATCCAAAATGTAATCATATTTTAAATTATTTGAATTTTAAAAAATATGTATGTAGAAAAACCAAGTAAGATGCAACAACAATTACAACACAAAAAGTGTTAGTGTTTCGAGGTAATTGTGTTGGAAAGTGCTGACAATTATCGAGACAACCACGTATGTTTGTGTTTATTAAATGTCCTTTAAACAACCAATTTTTAGAATACGGAGAATGGTAATTCCCAAGAACTTCTACTTTAAATTCAAAAACTTTAATGAAACGCTTAATGTGTTTAAAGGAAAAATTTACTTTCTAATGTTTGTAAAATGTTTTGAGTAGAACTACAGACACCCTAGATACACCTGTTGAGTGTCCCTTAAAATATCTATATCAATTCAATTAAAATATATTAAAATGTTTAAAAAAGCTTTTTGTAAAGACTGAAGAATGTTTATAATTATGAGAAGTAAAATGGAAAAAGTTATTTAAGTTGTTTTATTGAGTTATTACATTTAACAAATTTTTAAAAATGTTAATTTTTAAGTATGAATGAAATTTGAAAGTTTGAAATAAGGTTATGAAAATAGATATCTTTTCATTTTAAAGAATTATATCATTTATGAAGCTTAGTGCTTTAAAAGTCATTTTTGACACCTATAAAGGTTATAGTGAAGGAGAAGGTAATGTCCTTTCAATACCAGGACTACCTTTCTACTTTATAAAAAGGACAATATAATCGCAAAAACTTCCAGGAACTGAAGCATTTTTTTCAACTCATGGTGAGAAAAAAGTGAGTTAGATAATGTTTTATTAAAAATATTGATTCCAAAATAATATCCTTTTTTTTACTATTTGTATTTTTTTATTGTGAGATACAGATAGTACTATATTTCCTTTTTAATAGGATAACTTCCCATTCATTTTATAAACTTATGCTACATTACTAAGTCAGTATGAATTTGCATTTTATTTTTAGGTACCATTTACAAGCCCTTTATCATCTCTATGTACTAGCAGTAGAACCTCGACTGATTGTTCCACGTCTTATCGATTCAAATAAACCAGTCTACATTAATATTAAAGTGAAATTCAAGGTACCTTTAAATTTTATTTTATGCATGTTAAGTTCTGGGGTAATTTATTTATTAAATTATTGTTTTTTATTTCATGAAGTCCACCATAGTTTAATGTGGTAAAAAAAAACTTTTATTTTTCTCCTTATATCTCTTAATTGTATTTGTGTTTTAAAATTCCTTTTTTTAAGGAAAAAGAAAATTTAAAGGCAGTTATTTGGCTATATTCTGAAATTGTAGTGATTCTTATAAGTTATGGGATTCGCAGATTTCGATATGCTTCAATGTGTTGTTCTTAAAGGATTATTTGATAATCTAACACCCAAATGAAACTAGTTGTATATTTTGAGATATAATACAAAACTTATTGAAATAAATATATATATATGTNAGATTTTTTTTATTTTAATTTAATGGATCTTTCTGTTTTGTCATATATAATATAATTTTTTATTTAAAATATTTTTGTGGTATCCAAAATAAAACTGAAGGAAAGTCATCAGGCATTACAGATATTTAGTTATCAAATTATCTCCTTCATTTGTATAAATAAAATAAATCCACAGGTGAAATAAATATTCATAAGAATCAGAAGGTTTATGTTTCAATATTTGTGTTAATTTTTTCCAATCAAACTAAAAGTAAAAGAGGCAGCAAAGTTTAAAGCTACTACTTTCGACAAAATTGAAAAAAAGAAATTTAAATGCATAATAATATACATTTAATACTCTGTTGTAGGTTTCACTGTTGTAGCTTATAAGTGAAAAATTGTCATAATATTGGTGTTCCCATTTAAAACATGAGTTTTCTGAATTTTAGGTTTTTAGCACTTAAATTTGATAATTTCTTGTTAATGCTAATTAATTGAAGTATAATTGATTAAAAAAGTCAAGTCCCTTAATAATTTTGCATGTATCTCTTATAGGACACTGAATTTTATGAAGATGCAACATTTTCTTTAAAAGCTCCTTGCTTGCTTCCAGAATTGAAATTTTTAGAAAAGGTTTAGTAATCTTTCTATTTTACGATTATGCCATTCGTAAGTTTTGATGTTTCTAAAATAAGTCATTAATAACTCACATTTTAATTGGTGCGACTCAATCAATCATGAGTCTTAGTTTCAAAGTGTAATTAGTTAGTAATTAGTTTGTAAAAAAAATTATTTTGCCAAAACTTTTTTTAGCTGAATAATTTATATGTGTTATCCATAATTATTTTAATAGTAGCTTTTCGTTACCTTGTGATTGTTGATTGATAAGAAATTAGTGAGATGTATATTTGAAAGTGTGATATAATGGAGATACAAATAAGGAAAGGTTGAATTTTGTTTTGTACTTATATAAAATTGCAAAATAGAGCAGAAGATCTGTTTGTTAGCCACCAGCATAGATCGTACCATTGAATTTCATCAGGGGATCTAACCAGGGCAAGGAAGAAATATATAATTGCTACTGCCCACTTTCCAGTGAACTGGCAAGTCTGACTCATTGTCAAGCGTACGCTTTTGGCATGATTGAAAGGCTGTTTGTTTTTTAATGAAATTGCCATTTTTAGGCTTTGATATTGATTGAGATCCAGGCAATTTGGTTGTCTTACCAAAAGGAATAGGCAAAGAAGTGCAGTGCTGCCTAGAGCAGTGTTTCCCAACCTTTTTTGTGCAATGCCCCACCTGAGTCATTCTAAAATTCTTATGCCCCCCTATGTAACATATACATAATTTTTAATATTAAAAAATTGAATTGTTCACTTAAGAAACTTAAATGATAGGTTTTAGGAAGAAATCACTAGGAAATTTTTAACGAAGCACAGTAAGTAAACTTTCAAAACATATAATGAAAAACTAAAATTCAAATACTAGTTTCAATAAAGATTTTTTTATAATATTTTAATTTAGTGAGATCTTTGCTGCACAGAGATTTTATGTTAGGTTCCAATTTGGTTAGCTTCAGTCTCAAGTATCCCCGTTGTGTTATATCCAGACGATTTCCTTTTTTAACAGTAAATCATTTACAGCTCTAAATCCAAATTCAGCTAGATATGAAGATGGAAACGGTAGCAATAGTTTTCTTGCACATTTGGTTGATTTTGGGTATTTGATTTCTGTTTTCTCACAAAGCCATGCCATCACTCCCTTTATATTAAATAAAGTTTTGAGTGACTCATCATTTTGCATTTCTGCGAGTTCTTCTTGATACTGCATATTTGATATATCAGACAAATCCACTAACTTTGGCTGCATCATCCTTGTTGGAAAATCAATTTGTTTTAAATCAGAGAATCTTTCTTTTAAATTAGCCAATAGAATTTTCAGATGCTCAGATGCAAGTAAAGCGGTATTATTTACTTCACATTTTTGGAGCCAATGAAACTGTTCAAAGTTTTTGTTGCTAATATATATCTGACATAACTCAATAAGGGTAATGAAACCAACTATCTTCGCTTTTGCATCAACAAGAGTTTTATTTATTCCTTGAAGTTGCTTATTTAATATAATTAGTTTTTCAAAGATATCGGTTGAATAACTAACAAATGTTTTATCATCGACTGTTAACAGATACTTCATTTTAGGTTTGTCGCTTAAAAAACCATTTAGAATATCAAACAGTTTCATAAATTTTTTCAAGCAGTTCTTTTTAGAGAGCCATCTTCCTTCAGTGTGAAGTAAAAGTCTTACATGTTCTGCATTTTGTTATTCACAAAATAGCTTGAAGAGAAGCTCACATTTGGCATTAGCTTTAGTATCATTGATGCACTTTATTACTGAATGTAGTACTTCATTTAGAACAGGCAAGATGTTTCTAGCTACCAAGTTTTCCCTATGAATAACACAATGAACAAGAATCATTTCTGGATTCTCCTCTTTCATCAATTTTAAGCAGCCATTTTTCTTAGGAGCACCACCTGCAGCACAAGATATTATGTATTTATTGG